ACACGTGGGGTCTCGAGCTTTAACTGGGAAAGCCCTGCGAGCAGACTATTATTGGCCCAAGATTCGAGCAATGGCAGAACAGTTAGTCCAGAAGTGCGAAAAATGCCAACGCCACGGGCAAATCACTCACATCCCAGCCGAATACATGACGACAATCAACTCTCCAATCCCTTTTGCTCAATGACGAATTTACTTGGTGGGCCTGTTTCCGATGGGAACGGGACAAAGGAAACTCTTAGTGGTCGCTGTCGACTACTTCAGTAAGTGGGTCGAGGCAGAGCCCTTGGCCAGAATCACCGAGGAGAAAATGATCCAATTCTTATTCAACAACATTTGCCGACGATTTGGAATTCCGAAAGTGTTAATCTCAGATAACGGTACTCAATTCCAGGGAAAACGAATCCAAGCATGGTGCCTCGACATGGGAATTAAACAGCGATTTGCCTCAGTCGCACATCCACAAGCAAATGTGCAAGTCGAGGTAACTAATAGAACTATTATCCAAGGACTGAAGAAGAGATTAGAGAAGGCCTCAGAAGCTTGGGTTGACGAATTAACTGCAGTCCTATGGGCCTATAGGACGACTCCGAGAAGTTCGACGGGTCAATCCTCATTTCATATGGTCTATGGAATGGATGCACTTCTGCCAGTTGAAGTCGGCTTGAACTCTCACAGATCGGCATTATATGAAGAAAAGAAAAACGAGGAGATGAACGAGGAAGCCCTCGGCCTGATTGAAGAAGGGCGGAAAGAAGCTTGGGTACGATCCGTCGAGTACAAACAAAAGATGCGCGCAGCTTTTGATAAGAAGGTCAGAACGAGACGTTTTCAAGTGGGGGATCTCGTCCTCAAACGGGCCGATGCTCTCAAGCATGTTGGGAAGCTCGAAGCTAATTGGGAAGGACCTTATACTGTCACAAAAGTGCTCAAGAGAGGCGCGTACGAACTCGAAGATGGAGAAGGTCGACAACTCCCACGATCTTGGCACGTGATCCATCTCAAACGCTTTTACGCTTAAGGCAATGTTTCGAATTCCCTTTTGTACTGAATAATGTTCAAATTAAATTCAGTAATGAAATGAATTCCAAATTTATGCTTCAATTATATCTCTTACATTTACGAGTCGACCTTATTATGATTGTCTGAAAAATCGAATTTTTCAAAACGGCTATGTAGCCGACTAACTCTTACGACTACGAAGTCGGTTTAACACAACTACGAAGTTGTACTCTCGAGTGGAATCTCGAGCAGGCTACGAAGCCTGCGACTACGAAGTCGGTTTTAACTAGTACGAAGTTGTACTCTCAGGTGGAATCTCAAGCAGGCTATGAAGCCTACGACTACGAAGTCGGTTTTAACAACTACAAAGTTGTAACTCTCGAGTGGAATCTCGAGCAGGCTACGAAGCTTACGACTACGAAGTCGGTTTTAACAACTACGAAGTTGTAACTCTCGAGTGGAATCTCGAGCAAGCTACGAAGCTTACGACTACGATGTCGATTTTAACAACTACGAAGTTGTAACTCTCGAGTGGAATCTCGAGCAGGCTACGAAGCCTGCGACTACGAAGTCGATTTTTACAACTACGAAGTTGTACTCTCGAGTGGAATCTCGAGCAGGCTATGAAGCCTACGACTACAAAATCAGTTTTAACAACTACGAAGTTGTAACTCTCGAGTAGAATCTCGAGCAGGCTACGAAGCCTACGACTACGAAGTCGGTTTAACACAACTACGAAGTTGTAACTCTCAATGGAATCTCGAGCAGGCTACGAAGCCTACGACTACAAAGTCGGTTTAACACAACTATGAAGTTGTAACTGTCGAGTGGAATCTCGAGGGGGCCACGAAGCCTACGACTATGAAGTTGTAACGCCCCACTTTTATTTGCCGAAAATCAGAATAATTTTTTTTTAAATTTATTTCAAAATATCTGAGGCGCTACTCATATTCAACACGAAGTTCAATACTTAACCAATTTCCAATACTCAATCAATCATCAAACTCAATCATCAACAATATTGCTAACTCCCAAAACGGGTTTTTCCAAAATTCATAAATCACCCAAACTGGGTTCCAACAATATTCGTAAATTCTAATGAGCATCTCCTTAACATTATTCATTCATATATTCCGAAAATCTTAAATGCAATAATACTCCAAGTTCATAATCATATAAACCAGTTCATAAATGCGGAAGCTTAACAAATAATAAGACCGGTATTATAGACCGACCACCACTCGCTCTACTCCGCCGTCGTACCTGCCTCGCTTAACCTGAAACGTGAATTTCAGGTGGGGATGAGCACAGTTGGAAAAAGTAGTGCTCACTACTATGCAGTAAACATTATTCACAATAATGAAACAATAATCAATAATCAATAAGGTATGGTCTCAGCATGTATAAGAATCAATTAATTATCCCAATCTCCTATCAATCATATCAATAATAGACTCATGTGCACACCTATAGCAATAGACTACTGCCGAACTATATACCGAACGTCTTATCTAAGGCCTTACAACGAGTGTCCGGCCAGTAGGAGTATCCCGCCGGCCAAGGCCTCACCTTGGTCTTACCAACGGGGTTGTCCAGCACGGGGACCTTTAACCCAAGTCATACGGCCCAAAATGTGTCCAGCACAGGGACCTTTAACCCAGGACTTACGGCTCAAAATGTGTCCAGCACAAGGACCTTTAACTCAGGACTTACGGCTCAAAATGTGTCCAGCACATGGACCTTTAACCCAGGACTTACGGCTCAAAATGTGTCCAGCACACGGACCTTTAACCCAGGACTTACGGCTCAAAAATGTGTCCAGCACAGGGACCTTTAACCCAGGGACCTTTAACCCAGGACTTACGGCTCAAAATAATAAGGAGACCACCCAACGGGTACGTTCTATAGATACGGGGATAACCGTTCGACGGCCGGTACAGCTCACATCGAAGGCTACATGTTCCACATGCATACTTGATCATACCAAAAATTTAAAACAGTAATAACATTTACAGCATAGACAATTTTACATTAAACCCACCTGGTAACTGATAAGTGAGGATAAAGGTGCAAGTGAAGAGTAGCTGTCGTCACTTGGAACAACTCTCGAGGTTTGACTCCTCGGAATCTACGATTTAAATATTTTTATCTTATTATTACGGGTGGTGAAGACCGACAAGGAAAAAAAAATTAAACACATAAAGCAAATAAGACAAACAAGGCAATTAAAACAATTAAAAGCAAATAAAACACATAAATTAGTATATAGACAGCGCATAACTCATCACAAAGCAGCCCAAGGTCAATACAAAACAAGGCAAAAAGGATCACATATATGCTCTTATTGTTCTAAACATAAGCGTGCTTTTCCACTTTCCACTTTTAAACAGAAACTTAAATTGAAATTTAACATGCGGGCAGCAGTTTTAACACCACTCAGAAGCATGCTCAGAGATAATGCTAAATAACAAAGCATAACATGCTCTTTCTCATTTCACAGCATATGTATAAAGAAAAAATAATTAAATAAATAAAAAATAAAATAAATAAGTAAATAAATAAAGGCTTTAACATCAAAATGAAGGCTCTGACCAACTGAGGTACATTGCTCTTAAATAAAATCCCTTCTAAGATATAATAAAAAAAAAATCAACAACTCAGGATATACAACATAACAGCAAGGTGCAAACATCCATGCATTTGAACAGCCTGAACAAGCCTTAATCCTCTTTATTTCCTACAAACTTAAACCAAATGCTAGGCCGAATGTAATGAGATATTAAGCTCTAAATACTCTTGAATTTCAGCATGACATTTTCACATAATGCTCAACATAAAGGAAATCAAATAAAGCATGCAAACACATGATATAACCTTCTCTTTTCATCATTATTTTCTCAACGTTTAAGCACCACTCCAAGGGCCTTAGAACTGAAATTCAAGGACTCTGAAATGCACATAATCACAGCCTTTAACACATATAATAACCTCAACAACAATACATCACAGTGAGATTAAAACACCTCATAGCATGTCACCATACATTTATCTTCACTGAACCTTTTAAACACAATAGCTCAGCCATTACAGCAAGTAATAACACAATTTCGCAACAGTCAAGGCAATGGATTCAGAAATTCAACAATTAATCACACAAACAATTTAACCTCTACTCATAAAGATCCGAACTTCACATATCCAGGATTTAAACTCACGAATTAACAAGAGGATTACGAAATTCACCTCTAGTCCGGAAATTACACAGAACAAAGCGGACCTCGGCCACTCGCGTACAGACCACAGACGGGTTTGTCGATGCTAGGGCTGCACATGGTCGGCTCTCGTTGCTCTTCCCGCACGGCCCGAAAGGCTGCCGCTGCTGTATTGGGCTCCCCACGCACTTACGAGTTGCTCAAAAACAACCAGCAATGAGCTGCTGCGGATTCTCGCCTCGACGGACGGCTCGACGGTCGACGGCGGCTCGAGCTCATCGTCTATGGCGGACACGCTTCCTGTGAACAGGAAGGGAGCGCGAGTTGGTTGTGACGGCCTGCTGCTGGCGAGGAGGGCTCACGGTCGGGACTGCTCGGAGGTGGTCGGGGTTCGCTGGTGGTTCGACGATGATGGTTCACCGTCGGGGCGCGGCTGTTCACGGTGGCGTCTCCCGCTGGACGGCTCGCGACATGAACAGAGACTCGGTGGTTCGATCCCGTGGTAGTCGTGGATTTCTACTCGCGGACTTCTCCTCGGCTGATATGAGGGTGTTGTGACGTGTTCTGTTCAGGGTGGTGGTCGTCGGGAATCGTTAATTGGTTGCGACTGTGAACGCCGGCGGCTCAGTGCGCGGTGGCTGGAAGGCGGAGGAGATGAGGACGATTTCGGTGGGGTGATCTAGGAGATGATTTTTCAGAATTTGAGAGAGAGAAGCTTTCCGATGCGACTGATCGAGAACATTCGGAGAGAAAATCTCCCGTGTTGCTGCAAGTTTGCGAGAGAGATTGATGGAAATTCTCGATCTGGTTCTTGCCGATGAGAAAACGCGTGTGGAGAAAACGAAGGAGAGAGGACTGAGGGCTTGCCTGTGTTTAAAAGGGGAAGAGTTGGGCTTAGGGTTGCTAATAATTGGGCTAGAAACATTTAGCTAAAATAGCCCAAAATTTGGAATTCCTAATTTGTAATAGGTGCCAACAATTTCAATTACAAAGGGCCCAACAATTAAATCATTTGGGCCGGTTAGGTGAGCTAAAATGGATCGAATTTAGCATTGACTTGGGTCGAAAGAACAAAATTCAAGGCTCGGGTCAAAATGGCTCAAAAACGGATCGAAACAAATTTAAATTTTGGTTTACGCGATTATATTGAAAATCGCCAAAATAATTTATATTTCTAACTGAAATAAATCCTAATAATTCTAACACATAAATAAAATAAATAGACATGTTATAAAACTAGAGAGAAAGAGAGAGAATAGAGAAAATGTATTCTCTTAGGTATGATTTTCATTATAACTGAAGGTCCTATTTATAGGAAACTTCTGATGGCACAACTCGTAATAATACAAATACATTGAGGGCAAAATAGTCATTCACATACATTATTTTATTATTTCATAACACTCCCCCTTGAATGACTATTTTCTAAACATATTTTAACTGATTTGAACAAAGCCCAATCTGCACATCTTCAAGTGTATCTTGTGGCCATCAGGTACCGTTGCTTCAGCACATCAGGAAAACCCGGTAGGACAAAACCTGATCATCTTGAAATCATAACATTGTTTCTTCAGGAAAACCCAGTGGAACAAAACCTGAGCATTGTGGAAGCACAACATAGCTCCCCCTCAAATAGATCATCTTTAGTGGAATATCCATGTGCTGCCTCGTTAAAACCTTGTCAAGAAAACCCAGTGGGAAAAAAACTTGATCGAAGGAAAAAGAGTACAACTACTCCAGTATCTCTTATCATCGTGAGGAATCATATCATTTATCCAATAGTGCTCATGATACCATGAATATGCCTCGTTAAAACCTTATTAGGAAAAACCCAGTGGGACAAAATCCTAATGAAGAAAAAAGAGTACACTATTCATGTGAATACGCCATCCTTGTTGCCTCATTAAAAACCTTGCTAGGAAAACCCAATGGGACAAAACCTCAGCCAAGGGAAAAAGAGTACAACGCGTATTTCATATATTCACCATAATAATCTTTCCATAATTTGCATGAGTATCATATAAATTCTTTCGGATTTGTAGATACTGATGGTATTCACGACAATATGTCATATCATGCTTTGTGCAATTTTTATTCTTAAACTCATTCTCATCATCAATTGATTTCAATGGTCTTATTGCCAATAATTCCCAATATTCACATTTCAGCTGATTTCATTTTCAACAATATTATTTATATAGCGCTATTCATTTGTTTATGTCGACACTTATTCATTTCCATTATTCCCCGTAATATATTGAGATATCTCACTATCAATTGATTTCACCAATATATATGCCTCCTTTCATCACTTATTTGGGGGATTTCAATTTGCACAATGTCAACGCTTCCAGCGTATTATTCCACCAACATATCATTTCATATATTTCACATCATCAGTATCATACAGTTTATGATTCGCACACTCTCAGCGTGATGCATATATCATTTCCAAATTTCAATCATTGATTCTCCCCCTTATCTTAACAGATCCCTAATCTGTATTTTTAGTATTGAATTTCTTGAGGGGAGTTCATATAGTCTCAATTTTGTTCTCGATTTCAACATATATTTGGAGGACTTTGAACTCATATCATTTGTAGTGTGCACATTTTTCTTTCAAGAGTTCATCATATCAGGTGAGTATATTACTAGCTTCATCACTTTCATATGACACTTATTTTCATTCTTTCATAATCATCTTGTGTCATCCTTATATCAAACCATCTCGTAACTTCAGGTTATATGTCATATACACATTCTTTGATCAAATCATCTCGTAACTTCAGGTTACGAATCACACACATGTGGCTATCTAGTGGATCCATAATATCTAGTAGCACACATGGAGGGGTAGTGGGCCCATATCATACCCCTTTTATACTCAGATTGATCAAATATCGATTCACAAATATTTAGCTAGTAATATTTTTCACCAATCGAGAACAAACATCTCATATAACAAAGAATAAGTTCATCATGCAAACCATCATCAATAATATCGGCAAACATTTTTAAAATGATCATAATAATTCGTTGTGACACGTTTATCACAAACATTTCACATCATCTTTCGGCGGCAATAAATAATGCACTTTAAGTGTGTGCTCTGGCAAAATGTCTTTTAGCCACTGTTTAAATCCAGAATCGTGTCATGCCGTCTGACACACATACTTTTGAACACTGTTTAAGTCCAGAGTCGTATCTCATACGCATCATATTTTTCTATAAATTATCAGGTAATTCATTCAATTTTCTTTAACAAAGGTCCGAATTTACAAATGGATTTAGCACTCTCAAATATCCGTAAATATTATTCTTTTCTTTCGAAAAATATCATAAAAAAAATTTATCGATCTCGATTAGAAAGATTGAGGATGCTAATGAATAATGGTATTCCAAATGATGTTAGATGGTTGATCGAAGCACAAGTTCGATTGTCTGGAGAGTTTCCAAATTCATACAAATATATGCCAGGTATGGGTAAAAGTACTTATGCAAAGAAACGAAGAGCAAAAAGGTTAGGTGGATGCTTCAAATGCGCTCGATGGACTTGTGACACACGATGTATATCTGTGGGGTACGTGTCCAAAAATCGAGAAGATAAAATAACGTTTATAAAGGATGGATTGAGTAAGGAGTCTTTGGATCAAACGATTCAACAGATTCTTGAGACACATCCTAGTGGATACGTGCATCGTGAGCTTATGTCTTTATGGATTCAGTTCAAAAATGAAGAAGAACGTTATAGTCTCGAAAATATTATTTCAAAAGATCAAGTTTATAAAACTGGTCTTGTTAGTACGAAAAAATCATACTAATACAGTTTAGTATGTTGTACTGTAATTTTCTAGAAAAACTTATAGTTGCCGACAGATAAGATTTATTTAAAACCCAACACCTTATCTGTCAGTTGCAATTGTCAGAAGAAAACAATAAAATTATTTATTGCTTTGTAAAACTTTCTATTTAAATAGCGAGTCGTTCATCATAATCATATGCCTCACAAAGTTTTGAAAAATTCAGTTTATCAATAAATAGATGGATGTTTCAGAGTCTTCGCAAGGTAATAAATTTCTTCAACCGATCAAAACCATATGTGTTCTTGGTGGTTCTAAACTGGTAAGTTTTTCTCAAACTATTGATATTGTAAGTCAGTTAGTCAAAGAGATGGGGAATCAAAAAATCAATTTGCTGTATGGAGGGACTAACAATACTTTCTATGATAGTCTCTTAATGGTTGGACAATGTTTTGATATATAAGTGAAAAGTATCAAACCTTTTCATAGAGCTTCAACAAAGGTCGTCAAGGATTCCACAAGCATGATGTTAACTCATTCCATTCATGATTGTATGATGGATATGGTGAACAATAGCGATGCTTTTATCATTCTTCCAGGCGGGTATGGAACGCTAATGACAATGATCACCATTGCTTTATGGGCAGAATTGAAACTTCATAACAAGCCCATAGGTCTATTGAATTTTAATAACTTCTTTCATGGTTTGCTTAGATTTTTAGACATAGGAGTATATCAAACCTTTATATCTCCTTCAATGAGAGAAGTATTCAAATCTGCTGACACGTCTGCTGAACTTATCAAAAAGCTTCAAGAATGCATCGCATTTCAAGATTCTGTGGAAACACAAGGGGTCAAGCGAAAAAGAGCTTTTGATCCTTTAGATCTCTCATTATGAACCCAGATATTATTCAAATATGAACCCAGATATCATTCATGGGTGGCAGAGTTACGGAGTTTTACACTCTCGAGACGCACCCTTCTTTTATGGGTTCTATTATGTAATCTTTGCGTATTTTGTATTCATCGAGTATTTACTGCCTCTTTTCCATATTTCCACCATCTGAACATTTTGTACTTGTTTCTCAGTAATAATAATATCAATTTCGATTTTTCTCAGTGTATAGTAGTTCATGACTACAATCATTATCATTTGTGCTTCTTCCGGAGCACTTTATTGTAATATCTGTATGATCTCGTATCCCAATGTGATCTCGTCATCTGATATAGCCCCTTAGACTTATATAATATATTGAGAAATCATTTTTGTGTGATCACCCATAGCTGGTAGCTTTTGATACCACTTTCTCATTTTGTTCAATCATCCAATGGTAGCTTCTAGTACCATTTCATCAATATTCATATCTCCATAAATTTGGAGAATTTATCAACTGATACTTCAGGACCAGGTTAGTCCATATAATGTCTGTTCATGACAAGGATTTTAATTAACTTTCACATGGTCAGATACAAAGTATCATTAATTTCATTTATTGGCTATCACCAACTAGTATTTCTCGTCGCCAGCGGCAGAGCCGCACTGGCCGACGTATGTATATATAGCCATTCATATCATTTGTTGCATATGGCCTTATCCTCTGGCCATTCCATATCGCCGGCTATTAATACACTGACCGGTCTATTTAGCCGTTCAAGCCTTTAATCATATTGTCTGTTGTCGGTGGTTGCACTCGGCTATATTACATAATCGTTCATAATATTTTGATCAACAATTGACCCATCGGGTTCCATTAAATATTTCTGGTCGGCGGCAGAGCCGCACTGGCTGATCCATGTAGTCACACATATTTCTTTTCATATCACATGGGTCAATCCATAAATATCCACATGTCCATAATTTTCAAAATAATTTAAATATTTCATATGATAAACCATATCAATATTAGTATTAAAAATACCTCATTAATAGAGTAGTATGCATTTAATAAAAACATATTTCAATAATTCTTGCCTTTTATATTGAAAACATGATTTTCTACCTGTTTATTTAATAAATAAATAATTAGACCATGTGGAATTTAAAGTGGTTGCTCAGGACATTAAAATATAGGTTGGGCAATAAATTTGGACTTGTATTG